AATCAACAAATGAGCCAAAATTATTATTCAGGCATAGAACTATGGTCAACTTTGTACGATGCGATGTAAGATCAACATTAATCTCTTTTGACGTCCTATTGTTTTGTGTTTTAAGGCTATTTTTCAGTGCTCTTACAGATCTACATATTTGGTTTTGTCAACAGCGTTTGCCCCTCCCAAACCCACATATTCCGCAGTGAATATTGCTTCGCCATTGAAGGTTGAAGTTCGAGTGCGAGCTCAAACGTAGCGAAGAATACATTTAGTCTATAGATGACAAACGCTTCTGAGCATACTTCTTGGGTATGGACCTTATTAGGATACTAATGAAGATAATGATTTGAATTATATATGAAAGAAGATCATCGCAGTTATAGACGCAACTTTTGCAGCTGCCAAAAGAAAGCCTGAAAAAAAAGTCAGGCTTGTAAGGGATTCGAACCCTTGACCTCTGCGATACCGGTGCAGCACTCTTACCAATTGAGCTTACAAGCCAAGTGGGAGCAGGTCATTGAATTGGATCGTTAATATATAGATTTAGCCACGGCTAAAAGCCAAGCTCCCATTGAAAAGTTAAGTGATTTTGGAGTGAAACAAATCTTGTATCGATTTGATACAGCCTTATATGTACACCCGAAAAGGTGTATGGTCAAATTTAAGAGCAATAATGGCTCTTGATCACAGTAGATAAGGCGTGGGAAACAAATCAGGCCGAATATTTTGCGATCGACAAGTTTGCAAATTCTTGCCAATAAATCTGGGTGCGTGCAAACCAATCTTTTATTTTTTTTTTAATACACCACATCTGAGGAGAAAGAGTACTATGAGGCGCTGTTTTTATCATACAGACCTCGTACAAAATGCAGTATTTCACAATTTTTCAAGACAAATTGCATTCATTCAATATTCAGGACCATCGAAGCATGCGTGGACTTTTAATTAGCGAAACCGTTCAAAAAATTTCCAAAATCACCCCTACGGCCAGCCGGTTCTAACTTTTGACAAGCGTCAAATTTGCGAAGAAATTTTAAAAGAGTTACGCTTCAACGTGATAAAAAATTTATTGAGTCTATTTTTTATTCATGGTTTTATAACGATGTGTAACCTTAAAAAGCGTTTGATACGCTCGGCATTTTGAGTACTCCTGCAAGCGATGTTTATGAACGGCTGAAAAGAAACGGCAAAGCGTTGAAAATTACACTTTTGAGACTACCAACTATCAATAAAGAAATATAATTCGGTACAACATTTACAGAGACAACAATTTTCATTCACGAAAACAAATGAGTATTTAAGTGTCTCTAAGAATCCTGAAGTCTTTACTAGTAAGCTTAAAGATTACGTTTATGTTTTAAGCCGCCGGTTTCCCTGGCCTGTTTACTGTTTTCAAAGATGAACTCAGGACAAGAAAATCGTTCAAAGCTTTCTCTCTATAGCCAAAATTATAACTAAATATTCTTCGGAAAGTCTTTTTTTTCTATTTACGGTGAATTGATATCGACTAAAGGCTTTTTAAAGTTCTGTAAGCTTAAAGGGGCTATGTCAGGTGGAGAGCATGCGCTCTGAGGTTATGCAAATTACTTTCAACTGTCAAAATTCTATTGTTTTAAACGCGTGGCTTTCGCCATGTGCGCTCTGAGGTTATGCAAATTACTTTCAACTGTCAAAATTCTATTGTTTTTAACGCGTGACTTTCTCCATGTTCTCTGTCACGTCGAAGGCTCCGAATTTAGAGAGGTTAACAGGCGAAATGGGTTTAGATAAGGGATATTTCGATAGAATTTACGGAACGTTTCTTCTCTGGTTATGCTAGATCAAGAATAAAATTGTGACGACAATTTTACTTGTAGTTTTGGAGTAAAAACGCATGCCATTCATAAAATAGTGCGCAAACACAGATTCAACAACAACATATTGTCTTATTCAATAAAATAAATCGATGTTGTATTTTACAAACGAGCTACAAAAGACGCTAGACCGGAGATAAAGACCAAGACTGTTTCGAAACATTAACAATTAGACTTGTCTGTCGCTAGTGATTTTATAATTTAGATGCTGATAGAGCAAGAGACATCAAGTCTTTGTTTTGATCTTAGGGAAACATACATTATCGCGCAAAATTGTTCGATCGTGCCGAATCACTGCGACGTCGAGATAAACAGAACCAAGCATCATTGGTATACTACTCCACTATAAGCAGTCCGTTGATAACAAGGGAAAGTAAACTCTGCTATTTTCCAAAAATATGCTCGAACACAAACAGTTCAAAAACATGGCATTTACAGGATCTAACTCGTACTATTAAAGGTGCCTCTCTAAGTCCGTTAAGAACAATCTGGACGAGAAAACGGTCGTGTTTATCTTTGCCGTGAATCCAGATAAATACAAGAAGGAATCTAGCCGAATTTTATAATGTTTCCTTCGCCAGGAGTTTAGTTTGGTCACGAAACTCATGGCCTGATGCTCTTCTAATCGTTTACCAAAAACGGCCGCCACCAACTCGATAGCCGCTTCATTATATGTCCACATACTTTTGAGCACAAGAAAAATCCAAGAGCCAGCAACCTCTAAAATAACTCAGTAGAAAGGTTCTGTGAACTATAGGGAAGATTCCATCAAAGATTCCATCACTCATTGTGGAGTAGCCCTCATTAACTCTGCCATTACAACGGCCGCTGATAAGAGGGCACAGTAAATCCACGTAAAAACATTCCACAGGCAAACAATTTCAAAATAACGCCAAAAAATTATTCTGTAATCACCATAGAACGATTCTTAATACAAAACTTCGCTAACTATCGAACGATGGCTGAGATTTAGTCAGATAAAAACAGCCTTCCAAAATCTCCGACAGAACTTGAAAAAGACGGGCCAACTTTTTCAAGTCTGTTTTCATTGGCTCGCGCATGCGTGTGGGGTGACATAGCCCCTTTAAGCTTATATCAAACCTCATACTAGGTCAGATCAGTGTCTCAGACAAATCTTAATACAAACGTGCATAAACTAGCTTCATAAACTGCGCCGCTGGACCTCATGAAATTAGATATAAATACAATAATTACTCAGGCTTACCATATTTCGAGATGCAGCTCCTGAAAGCTATCAAGTAATGCAAGGATCGCTTGAGCCTTTATAATTCTCGCACGCATCCAGCAAGGTGAAAAACAAAAACGATGCCATCCGGAATTGGATTATCGGCTTTGACAAGCGACGCGTTTCTCAACCAAAAACCCAATAAACAAACCAGCCATGAATAAGAGAACACTCTTGATAGCAGCTGTATTTCATTTTGTACATCCAGTGGAAAAAGACAGTTAAAAACATCACAAGTTGACTCAAAACTCTGTCAGCTTCAGCTGTCAAAGTAAACAACTTTCAAGATGCTGCATAAATTTTACGCATGAACTCACCTGTCAAATTTTAACAAATCAGAGCATAAAAATTGGACGTGGAACGTGACCAACATGTGACCATGGTAAGAAAAGGTCTTCCCCGACTGTATTTTAAAAAAAACTGGCTGAATTTTTGCGTCTGAGGTCAGTTGGAAATCAAAATCGTAATAGTGCGGGGCGATACTGACATAAACACAACATATTTGATATGAATTTTTAAAAAAAATGAACGTGAGCCTGCAATCATTTGAAAACGAATAAATTGTCGGCGGATAACTTCAACAAAATACTCGACCTTGATGGGTCGACACCTGAGCCCGCGATACGGTCAGGTGATACTGGTCAGCGGATACCCTGTTTTGACAGCCGTCAATTGATGACAAGATTGATGTGCAATCAGCTTCCTCCTGGGCTCCCAAAGTAGCTAGAAAGTGTGAGAGTAAACATTGGTATGCCTGTGGTGCGGACGGACGGTCGGTCGGTCGGTCGGTCACGTGATTACCAAATTTTCTGGGATGGGTAGATTACCTTAGCTATGGGGCTCCGCCCACGCGCGCGCTTCGCGCGCGTGGAGCTCCGCTATAAACCCGTGAAAGGATGATGATGACGTTATGAGTATATGAAAATCATTTATGAGAACTGCGGGGTGAAGAATTATATGAAGGAAGATCATCGCATGATTTAATTCATATAATTCTTCACCCCGCAGTTGTCATATATGATTTTCATATTATCATAACTTCATGATGATTTAAATTGAAGATGTACAAAAATTTTAAAAATGAACATAATGATCGTCGCAGTTGTGATAGTTCATTTGAAATTGCTTTGCTTTAATCTACTGTAGTTGCTATCACAATTGCTACGATCACACCTTTAATAAAGCCAGGATAACAGCATTTATTTCTACAGACTCGAAATATGCTGTGGTCACATTTGAGTGTTGTTTGAAAGGATCCATCATTTTGTAGGCTGCCCTTTATATGTTTTCTGAATTAAAGAAATTTCAAGGAGCTATGTTACAGTTGGTTGGGACTCTAGTAACAGCTTGCATTGAAAAACAAAAAAGCTAAATAACGGTTCAGAACCGGCCTAAAAAATGTTAAAGTGGATACCTTTACCTAAATTATTGTACTGTCGAAAAATTAAAGCGGCAAAAATAATAACCATGCTTTGTCGTTTTCCCCCTGAAAAATCGCCAGATATATTATATATTTTTTAGAGTTCCAAGTATGAGAAAAGACGTAAAAGATGACCAAGGATACTTAGTTTCAATTTCACCTCATGTATTGACCCGATATAATGGTGGTGGTGAACCCTTAAAGATTTTAGAAATGAAACGTAATGGAATGTTCAGATGGACGAATTAGGGAGTTGAAAAGAAAGGCAGTTTATTTCCACGAAAGGTACTGTGTTGTTAAGACTCAATAGAGAAAATGAGTGAGGCAAGTATGACATTACAACAGTGGATGCTCCTGGACTTTATTTTTAGCTGGTACAGACTTTATAGCAAACTTTGCTTTACATATCTCATTACCCATGTCAAGACATAACACAAGTCTAACACGCTTCTATTTTGAAAAGTGCAGCTCATCATGTGACACGTGCTTACTGCTGAGCTTTCGGTACTTCCTCAATAAAGATACGATTCATTGAATGCCAACCAGTCCAGGCGTCAGCAAGCTTCTGTACTGTGACGCATTTTCCAACCGAGAATCCCACTCGCACCTTTCCTTTCTGAATGTTATTGCAGTGACCTTCAATGTGGCGGTGACGGTGAAGATCGTGGTTTCTGCCTGTTGCCATGTAGAATGCACCGTCAATAGTTCCAGGAGAGCTGCACTCGGCTCCATTAAAGGTGAAATACCAACGACTACAGCAGCCGTTACAGTTGTAAATCCTGAGGACACCAGCATAGTAGACATGGAGGGAAGTGTCCGCGTATTTCTTCACAAAGTCACAGTTCTAAACGAGATATAAAGAAACAGCATTCGTATTGTAGTTTATTTTTATTTACTCCAGTCTACAAAAAAATAATACATCAGTTGTACAATATTAATTAATACAAGGTGTTCGACCAAAAAATTCATGTACATAAGGTTAGCAAAAAAATTAATAACAGAGAAGGACACAGTGTAATAAAACCGATTATCGCCCAGCCTTAACACAAAACTACGTAGCTTCAAAAGACGCAGCCATCATCATCGCTGACTGCGTGCTGGCTAAAGAATTATAGCAATGAATCATTTCAATAAAAATTAATTGCTTCGAGCTAATAGAATATTATTAAACTCGAGTATCACAGTGACGACCCGCACTTACATATATCAGTCCTGAATCTGTGTCGTATCCCTTTTTCCAAGCACACTCCTTCCAGTTCAAATGTGAAGCCAATCGTGGCGTTCCACTGTCGCCTTTGGCCCCTCGCTGTCCTTTTTGTCCGGCGGAACCCTGGATCCCAGGCTCTCCCTTTGCTCCTTTCTTTCCGTCAGCACCTCGTGGTCCCTGGGTCCCAGTTTTCCCCGGGCTGCCGAGGTCTCCTTTGGCTCCATCTCGACCAGATGCCCCAGGGGCTCCTGGGATACATGTCATGTATGTCCACATCCCGGTTTGTCCACCATTATTACAAGATGGACAAGATTGAACACGCTGCCAAAGAGAGAAAAAGTCAGTGACAAACTGCTAGTAGCGCCTCACAATTTCACCTGTCATCTAGCGTTTCAATCCAGGCCAGGAAGCAGTTCCTTAATTTTCCGAGTTTTAATTGGGTTTTTTAAATGTTATCGCCAATTGTGATTTTGGAAAAAGAAATTTATTTTCCAGTAAAGAAGCTGTTTTTGTAAAATTGTTGATTTTGATTGTTTAAAACGTGAAAATGTTGTCTCTCTTCTCAAAATAGTGATCGAGGTTGTACAAGTAATGATACCATCTCAATTTTTTGTTTGAATTTGGTAGTCTTCTTAATCAACCTTCAGACTGATTTAGTTAGTTTATCAGATATTGCCACTACACATTTTTTTTATTACAGTTAAATAATGTTAGTTTATAGAGAAAACTAGAAATTACGTATTATATGTTAACTAACTGTAATAAAAAAAAAATGTGTAGTGGCAATATCTGATATATAGTTACCTTGGTGTCTGGTGGTTTGTTGTCCTTAGCAGAGCAGAAACCAGCCGTGAGCGAAAAAATCAGTACAAACAACATGGTGTTCTTTTTAACTCGTGATCGCATCATCAAGGTCCTCTAACTTGTGCACTAGAACTGAAGTTTGATCATGATATGAAATATCTTGAGTATAGGTCAAACAAAAACACAATGAACGTGATTAACACTTAGCAATTATTGAATGTTGCTGGGTAGGATCTGAAGAATTATGCAGATCGAGGAGGATGTTATCATAACCAACTGGTGCTTACCATATTTGGTATATTGGAATAAAGGCTTCTACGGCTAGACCATCATCGCCAAGCTGCTAAGCTGTTTTTTTACGAGTGAACTAAAACAAATGGCGTTTACGGCTAACCAGGGACGAAATAGCTGATTTCTAACTAAATCTCAGACAAGAATGCGCATAAACATATCGCTCGATGAATTTTACGTGCTTTCTGAGGAGTATCTGCAACGGTCAAACATCTGTTTTTGAAACCGTACCGAGAAATAGGCCAAAGGTTTGAAGAAAGTCTACCATGAGGTAATCTTGTTCAGAACTCAGTAATATTTGGAATGAATAATAATATACTTTATATTTAAGAAATGCCTTGGAAAAATGGACGGTTTAAATGCAATGGAATATCGATGACTGTTACAGCGTCTTTTGAAGTTAACTTACCTTCGTTTTACGATTGCCAAAGCCAAATGATGGCAACGATTATCGTTACGGGTTAATTTATTTCCGCTCTATCAATAATTACTTAACTTTTCATGCTTTTAAAACAAGTTTCAACTAAATCCGATCTTCCAATCATTACATCTCACGTTTAAAAGACGTCGAGCTTTTTGATTGGTTTTTTTGGCTTAACATGAGAAATTCGTGTTTTTGTGTTTTTTTAGGAACTGAAGAATTATGCAGATCGAGGAGGATGTTATCATAACCAACTGGTGCTTACCATATTTGGTATATTGGAATAAAGGCTTCTACGGCTAGACCATCATCGCCAAGCTCCCAAGCTGTTTTTTCACGAGTGAACTAAAACAAATGGCGTTTACGGCTAACCAGGGACGAAATAGCTGATTTCTAACTAAATCTCAGACAAGAATGCGCTAAACATATCGCTCGATGAATTTTACGTGCTTTCTGAGGAGTATCTGCAACGGACAAACATCTGTTTTTGAAACCGTACCGAGAAATAGGCCAAAGGTTTGAAGAAAGTCTACCATGAGGTAATCTTGTTCAGAACTCAGTAATATTTGGAATGAATAATAATATACTTTATATTTAAGATATGCCTTGGAAAAATGGACGGTTTAAATGCAATGGAATATCGATGACAGTTACAGCGTCTTTTGAAGTTAACTTACCTTCGTTTTACGATTGCCAAAGCCAAATGATAGCAACGATTATCGTTACGGGTTAATTTATTTCCGCTCTATCAATAATTACTTAACTTTTCATGCTTTTAAAACAAGTTTCAACTAAATCCGATCTCCCAATCATTACATCTCACGTTTAAAAGACGTCGAGCTTTTTGATTGGTTTTTTTGGCTTAACATGAGAAATTCGTGTTTTTGTGTTTTTTTAGGAACTGAGTTCCTGTGCAGGCAAATGATGCTTTTGTTCCATGGTCGAGAATCTACCACCCACAACATCATTTATTACATTTATTAAAATTTTATTACGTATAAGATCTATCCCTCGGTATAGCTCAATTTTGTCCTTTGACTGCCGAATAATCTTTTGTACCGGTGTTGTAGGACCTTGTAGCTTCACGAGGATGGCCGTCACCTCATCACCTTTTAGTGCAGTGGGAAAAAAAAATTAAACCGAGGACAGTTTGCAAGACTGAGTCTTAGCATAATATGTTGTTTAAATTAGAATTTTTTTATACTATATTACTGTAAACCCAAGCGAAGTAAAATTTATTAGAAGTTACTGAAAAACAGGAGAAAAAGAAATTACAAGAACTATTACAAGTTCTTCCGTCGTTCATTTCTGTATCCAGAATAAAGCACAGAATTTATCCACATCCAAATTTGAAAATTCTCTTTGCAGAGGTCAACACAACAGTCTATCCAAATAAGCAATGTTGCAATGATTCTGAACTATATTCAGAATTGTTTGATAAAGACGCTTAACATGAATCATGTTTGATACTATATCATTGGACTCTGAAAATCCCTTCTTTTTTTTACCATGGTAAATGATTGTTAAATACTGCTTATTAACATTGTACCCGATTAAATTGTTCTCTGCATTATATATTGAAAAGTCCTTCCTAATCTGATCCGTGTCAAATTACTATGGGCCGAAGGAGATATAGAAAGCTTGGCGCATATATGATTTACCTTGTTTGCTATATGTTTTCATTCCTCATCTCGTGATCTGTCTTCATGAAAGTTATGAGAACTGGAAGAAAGAAGAAATAAAGAAACATTGAATCAAAAAGCATAATTTAAATAAAGCTAGAGAAAAACAAGAAAGCTTCGAGCACTGTACATACCAACACTCTGCAAGGGATTGAATCATAGAATTTTCTTGTTTGAATACGTTTCTCGGCGTCAAAACATGCTCACTAAACAGCCTACGTATGTATTCTAATTTCAATTAAACAATTTCATTCGCCTGCGGAAATATTAGGTAGCTAAGTAATCAATGCATCCGATGAAAGGCCTTTTTGCATAATTTTTGAAGTACTGTACACATTTGTTTCTTTGTTACAACATCATTTTAACCTACAGTTTACAACTTTTACTAGAAATAAATTGTGGTTGTACTTGGATTTTTTTTAATCCAAGTGCGATTGTTCATATATAACCCAGGGTATAACGGTACAATTGAAAGAAAAGTTGCAGTCTGAGATATCTCGAGATGATATCACTTAGAGAAATTATCATCGGCTCCCTAAACTGACCTCGAATTGAAAGAGTGGTAAATTGTTATACTTATTCTCCGTCTTAGTAGCCATCATCTATTCTGGTCCATTCTTATTGCATCCAGTAAATAATCCTAGCGTAATCAGTTAACTTTAGTGATCTTACACAGTCGTTCGATGATTCACCATTTGTGGCGTGTAGCACCGGTTCATGCTTGACTTTTTTATTTCTTCAGAGACACTAAATAATATAGCGGTCCTCTCAGAAAACAAACAGTTTCTGTACTGATTTTCAAAATCCTTAACTCAAGTATTCTGTTAGTTTTTGCTTGTCTTTGAACAACTGTACGGTCAGTTAAGAAACAAGAGCGGCTTTTTCTGTACGAAGAGTGTGATCTAAACAGGTGCACCCAACGACTGTTTTCTTTAAAGTATCTGTTCGAGAAGCAAATATTGCCTAGAATGTTCTATTACTTTAGGACCGCTAAAAATTTATAGCTGAACGTTGTATTCATGCACAATTTTCGAAGCTTATCTAATAAATTCCCTACGGTTTTTTTGAAGTTTTTTTTTTTCACATTTCACTTCCTAGGTCAGGCTATTTTTTGTAGAAAAAAGGAAACCTAAAACTTTCGGATTAGAAAATATGACGGAGAGAGGAATCAGGAAAATTCTCATTTTCGTCGATGCGTTAAACTGCCTCTAAAATTTTCGGGAAAATAATACTGAAGCCCTTGTAATTTCAAAAAGGTTCAAGTTCCCATAGGATGATCGAACAGATACACAAATTTTCATAGCCCTGCATAGAATGCAGTACTCTGGATAACCTAAAAAGTTTTCAGTCTCAATGTATTTAGGAGGAAATCGTCCTTGGGTGCCCCTCTGTATAAAGCACCATCATATTTGTGGAAAATATTTATTAAGTTTCCTTTGTAAGCATACGCCAAATGATTTAACAAAAAATTCTATTTTGGTTTTGTAGTTCGATAAATTAACAAGTTTGTCGAACTGTAAAACTGAATAAAGCTTAGTTTCAAATCGCTGTATTACTCTACACGTCACTTTTGATTACGGAGCTTATATATGTCACTGTGTTGAACACATTTTTTACTATTATTTTATTGGTCGTGTTAATAATCAGTAGTTGTAGATATCAATTTTCTTTAAATTCACTATTTCGAATTTATCATTCACGCCCACCATTATAACCGTTTGCCTGATTAACGATACTGTTGGTTTTGTTGGGCCGCAGAGTTTATTATCCTATTAAAACTATGATTTTATGACTCAAGTTCGCACAAACGGCTCTGACTCGAGTACGGCGGCGGTGATTCTCAGCTGCCCTACCGAATATGTCCTTGATGTTTGAGATGTGTGTCATTTAGCATTACTCGTAAACCTCTACTGTCCATGGTCATACATGTAATTAGCAAACAAAAATTGAACAAAATTTGTGGAAGGATTATCCACGAGCTAGAGTAGATATACATGTTACTAATACATGTAAGATGAGATGATTCCAAAGGAGAAAATTCCAAACGATCCTTAGATCAGATTTGAGTTTGGGATTCTTTTTTCGCCTATTCACTGTTCTTTAATAAATGGTGAAAAGCCTAAATGTTTCAGAAAATTCCAGGTTCGCTTGAGACAACCATACTGAACATGTTCTTCTTTTACCTTACTGTTAGCAGAATCATTCTTCTTCACTGGATATATAGTACTGTTAATTTCTCGCTTACCGTTTGAAATCATGAAGATGAATAAAAGCCTTAGTTTTGGATTTGGGAAATGATTTCATTTAGTTGCCTATTCATTGTTCTTCTTGTTGAATTAACCGTATGAGTTAGCTTTGTAGTAGTATTTCACTCTTAATTGTTTGATATTAAGTTCTACAGGTAATTTTGTGAGAGCTTTAGCACAACGAAATATCTCAGTCAGTATTTTCTTCGAGAAATTGTGCCCTAAAGTAAGGAGCTGTTCATAGAAAGCTAATACGCGTAACAGACCGAAATTTTGGTAAAATTTCAACAAACTTCTAGTGGGAAAGCTATGGTTTAAAATTTTGTAGCCTTAAAAATAATGAGTTCGAAGATTGCTTTGTAAATTCAATCTAACAATTACTGAAGTATCTAGAAAATTTCATCAGTGTATACTGATTTAGAGCTGTGAAAGTGTTTTCATGGGTAAAATTTGAAACCGTGCCTC